AGGCGTCGTGGGTTTCGTTGCACTCAGGTTGGTCTTGGCCTCGAGGCAGTGCGGGCAGCTTCTGGGTGAAGGTGAGAAGGCCTTGGGATTTTTAAAAATGCTTTTGCCATTTTACATCATGTAGCATTACATACACACAAACACATACGCAGATACATAAACATATACGCAGGCACACACACACACAAACATACGCAGACACACACAGACAGACACACACAAACACATACGCACACACACACACACACACACACACACACACACACACACACACACACACACACACACACACACACACACATAGTAATATTGGGACATGAAGAAAATGTTGTAGAAGATGGAATTGAACGATACAACGAAGACAAGAAATTAATTGTAGATATTCTCAAGGTCATAAATCCCGAATTCGCCGAGCAGAATATCATAGCTCACAGGAGGCTGGGATTATTCGAAAAGGGAAAGAAACGGCCTCTAAAAGTAACATTCTTAAATAAGCAAATAGTAACTGATATAATAAAGAAAGCCAGTTCTAGCCACCCATGAGGAATACAAAAAAAATCTGGATAAGAGAAAACATGACCAAAGATGACAGAGTAACACTACAAAAGAAATTGGAAGAAAAAAAATGAACAAAGGACTGAAGAGGAAAAAAACTTATTTATTTGGAGGGTGAGAGGTCTCCAAGCAAAGCAAATATACTATCGGAACCAAAATGTAGAGGCAGATAGACATTAACCCTGCAACCAAATTTAATACCTAAAGATTATATAGAAATAGTTTATACAAATATTGATGGTTTATCTTCGAAGTTGCTTGAACTAGAGACAATAATTGATATGGATAAACCGAATGTAATATGCATCACTGAAACCAAACTGGACCCCTCCATAGACGATGTAACATTAGGGCTTAAAGACTATAATATTTGGAGAAAAGATAGGGCAGATGGAAATGGAGGGGGGGTAGCAATATTAACAAAGAAAGGAATTATTGTAAAGGAGTTAGAAATTCATCAGGACCCCATAGTGGAAATGAAGGTAATTGAGGTAGAAACAAATGGGGTAAACATAATAATAACCACGGTATACATGCCACCTCAAACATCGGTGTGGTCACTAGAAAATTACCAGAAACTAATTCAAGAGACAATAAAGAGCCTGGAAGAAGTGCTACAACTTTCGGAAACCAACTCAACAGAAATTCTTATTACAAGGAGATTTTAATAGCAAAATCGACTGGGAAAGTTTCGATCCTAGAGCACAATCAGATTCTTGGAATGCTAAATTACTAGAAGTCATAAATGAGCATTGCCTTTTCCAGAATGTAACATATCATACCAGGATAAGAGGGCTAGATAGGCCGTCTATGCTTGACCTAATATTTACAAAGCATAACGACGATATTAAGGATATTGAGTACTGTCCTCCTTTAGGAGAAAGCGACCATGTAGTGATTAAACTAAAATACTGCCTGCTACGGGAAAAACTCATCGTAACCAAAGAAAGAAAGGAAAAGTACAATTACAAAAGAGGTGATTATAGAAACCTTAAAGATTTCTTTGATAACATAAACTGGGAAACACTTCTGGATGATGAGAACCTTGATGTTCAGTACTCAAAATTTTGTGAGATCTATAAAAAAAGGAGTGGAAAAATTCATATCCAAATTCAAAATTGAAGCAAGAAATGGCCAAAAATGGTTCAACGACAAATGCAAGAAATTGAGGAGAAAAAAGCATCTCCTTTGGAAAAGATTCAGAAGGCATAGATCTTGGGCAGCACATGAAAGATATAAAGTAGGAAGAAATGAGTATACCCAAACCATGAGAGAGGCGAAATTAGACTTTGAAAAGGATATAATCAACAAATGTGCAAGTCAACCAAAACTCTTCTTTAACTACATAAATAGTAAAACTAAAAGTAGGGATCAAATTAGCGCTATCAAAGACAATAACATTATATATTCTAAGGAGGAAGAAATGTGTGAAATCCTAAATGAGAAATTTCAGTCAGTGTTTGTTCAGGATCCATGCTTTGATATGGCAAATACCCGTACAGACGTAAAGAACATCGAAAATATCACCCTCAAAAAGAACGAAATAAAAGATCTACCAAAAGGATTAGACAAGACCAAAGCAGAGGGACCAGATGAAATTTCTATCTGGGTTCTTAGGGAATGTGCCGAAGAACTGTGTACTCCTTTATTGTTAATATTTCAAAATTCACCAAGACAAGGTAAACTACCAAAATGTTGGAAATTCGCAAATGTTACACCCTTATATAAGAGCGGCGACAAACAAAACCCACTAAATTATAGACCAGTTTCATTAACTAGTGTAGTATGCAAATTGCTAGAAAGAATAATTAGAAAACAATGGGTTGAAATGCTTGAAAAACACGAAATGATATCAAATAAACAATTTGGTTTTAGAGAAGGAAGGTCGTGTGTAACAAATCTCTGTTTTTATAATAGAGTATCTGAAATATTACAAGAAAGAGAC